GGAGAGAGGAGAGGAGAGGAGGAGACAGGAGAGGAGAGGAGAGGAGAGGAGAGGAGAGGAGAGCACAAGAGAAAAAGAAGGATGACAGATTGTGGAGGAGAAGATGAAACCAGCCTTTGCAGTTCTACTAATAATGAAAGCAGATGAGAGGAGCAGCGGTGAGCAGGACTGACTGGTGGCTGCTGCTATTTCCATCACTAAAAGGAAAACAGTGCACAGAGATACGTGAACCTACCGCTCTATAGTGTGTGTGTGTGTGTGTGTGTGTGTGTGTGTGTGTGTGTGTGTGTGTGAGCCTGTAATGTGCAGAATATGTGACTAATAGCAGCGCAAGGAGACCGGCGCCCTGCAGGATCCACACCCACAGTGTCTAGTGAGTGGGAGGACTGAGAGAGTCAGAGAGGTGTGTGTGTGTGTGTGTGTGCTCGCTCAGAAACACACACATCTGCAACGTGCACACGGCGAGCTGATGCTGTGACACTCCTGAGGACCAACAGGCTGATCCCACATCAGCTCTCTGCCATTAATGTTCCAAAGGAGCTAAAGCGTTGCTTCAGCGTGCCACGAGCTTCACCCTGATGCTTTTTCATTCTTTTTAAACCTGGTGGAGTCATTTAAAGCCGTCCACTGCTTTAGTTCCTCACCTTGCTGCTGATGTAGCTGTGCTTCAGGCCCACTGAGCTCAGCGTTGTTTATGTACAACAAGCGCTTTCCAACAGAGAAATAAGATGAACGGTACAAATTTATCCGACGAATCTAAATAATTTGAGCAAAAACCAAAAAGAGGGTCAGAACGGTGGGAGCTAACAGTCTGCTGTCGGAGCGAACGCCGACGGCTGGTTAGCATTTCTGTAAACTGACCGAAACGTGCCTTAAGGCAGCTACTAATGGCTCCTCTTCTATCCATTCATCTATTGGACATTTTATTAAACACTGGATTATTTTTAAATTATTCATTTTGCCTAAAAAGAAGTAGAAGTATCTTGACAAACTGCCACTGAAACATGCAGCACAAACTCATGGAAAAGGCACAAAACTATAGAAGCAGACTGCCAGCTTAAACATAATCATGGAGGTGCAACTCTAAGAACATCTGAGTTTCTATCAAACCTTGAGCAAAGTAAAGCGTTTCGTGTGTGAACTGAGGACGTGGTGGATATCTGACGAGGACAGAGCAGCTCCTCTTTCCATAACGTACGGTTGTACTTCCATGAAAACGTGGCCGACTCTCAGCTCAGCGCCGGCCTGAACTGTCCATACGATGAGTTTACGTTACGGTTATCAGATCAGACGGGTGGTTGATCTTTAGTTTCCATGAGAGGCTATGCTAACTACAAATGTGGACTTCTCCTCTTCCAGGAAGCTGACTGAGCCAGACAGGAGGCCCTCTCCTGCCTCATCTCTTCCCTTTGACCAGCTCTGCGTTCACTTCTTCACATCTCCTGTCCTTCTGTCTGGCCTGGCTTTTGGAACTTCAGGCTCAGTAGCAGACGTTCTCCGTCCCGTTCCTTTATTTACCCACTTATGTTCGCCTCTAATATCTTACTATTCAAAACCACTGCGTCATTGCAGGGGACTGAGTGTTTACGAACTCCTGGTGAGGCAAAGAAGGAGAAAAGTGCAGCCCTCATCACGCTCAGCACTTTGAGCTCCAACGTCCAGCTGTTCTCTGCAGGACAGTGAAGCTCCACTGGGAGGGAAACCAGAGCCGGCGGTGTCCTCCGCCTCTCCTCCGTCTGTGTACTGAACTCAAAGACAAAATAAAACATGTCCAAGCTCGTGTGACGTGAAAATACTTCAGAATGCAGGAAAAAAATCTCACTGACTGCTATTTTATTAACGAGCTAAATAAATGTGATGAAGAAAATCCTTCCCGATGGAAAGCGCAGTCGAGAAGAACCTACATGTTTTATATTAATGCAAAAGAATTATACAGACTGATGGCGTACAATACATCCTGTCTAAACTTTCCCACTGCACATGTAATAAAGAATCTGTAATTGGACCATGCCTGTTGGACGCACCACACATCTAGCAGGTGTGACTTCTTCTGCAGAGAGAAGACGGAAAGGGGAACGAAGAGTAGAGGCCAGAAGACCACCGTCCTCAACAGGCTCGCTGTGAGCTGGTATCAGATGGTGCAGACCTTTAACATAGATCTTCATCGCCAACACCAGTCGCGTGAGTAAATGACGTCTGTCTCTGATGCCACGTGTGCATTCGCTGTGACACCTTCACTGATTCATTCGGCAGCAGATGCCTGTCCAGCAGTCAGATGTACGTTTCCTCCACCATGTTAAAGCCATTTTCTGGGTACCAGTGTTGTGTTTGAGCCACTTTCACTCCATCCAGGGATAAATGTGATAACTCATTTAACTTGGTGTGTTGCATTCGTTCGTCGTTGCCGTGTGTGGGTGAGCTGGAGCTGCATGCTTAGCAGTTTGTTAAAGATGTTCAGCTTCTGCATGTTTTGATTTCAGAAACTACCACTACTGGGCATCAGAGCAGCAAATAACAGTCTGGAGTCGTGTTTATGTCCCGTTTCTCCTGAGTCAAGAAGCTGAACATCATCTGCTGACTCAGTACCAAGCGTCAACGTGGTGGAGATGAAAAACCATCCCTCAGGTCATCACAGAATCAGAGTTGAAGTGACAGGCGTCGTCACATGATCACAAAAGTTTAACTCTCTTGGTGCAGAGCTGTGATTCTGATTGTGATTCTGCACCAAGAGGCCGTCATAGGAGCTTTTGGCCACATCGGCAGCCCCTAAATGGAGCTAAAAATCCGGACTACTGATCCCTTCGTGTGTCAAATGAAGTCCAGCTGTGGTGCGCTTGTTTTAGTCTTCAGATATGTACTCGCTACTCTGACAAGCCGCAAACGCTAGACATCAGCTTCACCTTTACGAGAGCATCAGTAAACCAGTGGATGGTTCAGAAATTCGACCATCTAGTAGCTAAAGATAGTTTTGTCAGGAGGTGTGCAACTATTTAGAGGAAAGGTGAGCTGATGGTCTGCACTGGTGTCCTGCCCAGCTCTCCACTTACACAGAAGGATTATAGGAAGTGAACCAGGGGGCTATGGATGCATCTGAGACAGGTAGCGGTGCATCCTCGAAGGTCTGCAGAGCATCGATGCAGTCGTCTGTTTCAACCTTTACTCTCAGAGGCTCATTTTGCTCTGTGTTCGCTAAACGTGAGGCAAAACAGCTTCATAGATCCACAGCGCTGTGTTTGAGTCTCTCTGCTCCCTAATGAGCAAAGGTTCCTTGATGAAGCTTTAACTCACAACCAAACTGAACACAACTACGAGACCTCGATCCAATCAAACAGCGCTGAAGACAAACTGATAGACTCTGACAGGGCGCCACAAGGTGTGATGCTGCACAGTTTGGGGTCTGTGAGACTAATTATCGTAGCTAATTAAAGTCCCACTTCTCGTCAGTCTCCAAGGGAGCGAGGGTGGAGACGGGCGGGGGAGCTGGCCTGGATGGATGACATTCAGAAGGAAAGCGTGTGTCTATGTGTGCATGAGGAGCACTGGAAGGGTTGCAGGGTGGGTGGGCCAGTCAGCCGACACCGCGGGCTTTAGACAGAGCAGCTAGCACACAAGGGACACGGCAGCCTGCACCGCATTGTTAAGAGTGAAGAGAAAGCTCCACCAAGCAGCTGAATCCATCAAGCTACTCACATCTTCAGGTCAACTTTGTTCGCTGGAAAGAATGTTCGACCTGAAACAGCTGCTCTGCATCAGAGACACAGAGACAGCTGCAGGCAGATGTTGGAAACTGCTTCATAGGCAGTCCTGTTCTCGTTAGTGCACAGGCAACGCTCTGAGATAATCAGCGCACTGAAACCTTACCCCAAGTGCAGTTTTTAGAGAATGACTGACTGCAAGAACAAGTGAATGAGCCAGCAGTTCTCCTAAATGACTACGAATGATCCGAGCAGCAAACTCACCTGGAAGTTTATCTGGAGTATAAAAAAGGGAAACGCATCTCCTGCAGCTTTGCAAGTCAAAGAGACTCTCCAGAAAAGGGATTTCATGGCACTCTTGCATGCCCTAACCCTAACCCTTTCTTGGTCACTACATCAAGGGAGCGCTATGTTTTGTAAGGAGCTCATTTACAACATGTGACGCAACATTTAAGGAAGAACTGAGACTAAATTTAAGCCTAACCGCCACAATACAGCCACAGCTAGTTTGAATGATGAGTATTTCTGGTAATTATTTATCCGTTACATTCGAGTGTTCAAACAGCAGCAAACATGTTCATTCAGGATGAACGAGTCTGTGTGTAAATGTGTGTAAATGTGTGTAAATGTGTGTAAATGTGTGTAAATGTGTGTATTTGTGCCGTCAGATGTAGGACAGACTGAAGCATTTATCAGTCTGAACGCTAAAACCTGCCAGCGGCTTGAAAAGGCATTTCACTTCCTCTTAAATGACACCAGTTATCACAGCACCACGGATCCCGGCACCAATCGTGTCACCTTCGGTTTTGTCAGGTGACAACAAAATGTAATATTTGTTCAAGAAGTTTCATCAAAATCACTATTCTACATGTCTCACTGAAAGGTTTGCCAGAAACAAAGCCCTCACAGTAACCACATTCTGCACAAAAGAAGAACATCTGGAAGCCATGAGCGGCTGAGCCGTGACCAGGTGAGGGCTGCAGGCTGTGTTCACACGGAGCAGGCCGGACACAAGGATGGAGACAACTTTCACTTTTTTGTTTTTGAATGATTTTGGCATTCTAGCTATAGTATACAGCCAAAAACAGACTTTGGAGCTCTGTCTGCTTCCAGGCCTGGTTGTGCTGCTTCCAGACTTCATCCTGCAGTAGAAATGAGCCCACAGCGTGGAAGGGCGTTTTCTGTTTGAATGATATATGCATTGTGCTCTGACAGTATTCTGTTCCCTTAATGATACAAGTCAACCTGCATCTGCCTCCTTCAGGACATTAAAAATCACAAAAACTCCATCAATGGAGCAGAGAAGCATGAAGGCGCTTTGCACCACAAACAGATGCTGAAGCTGGCTGCTGGCTGCAAAGATTTTAACGGATCTTTTTTTGTGCGCTCTACAATTCATCGTTGGCATGTTTGCATTAAGGGAAGAAGCGAAGCCTGTGGGATGTGACCTGTTCACTGTGATGCGTGGGATTCATTATCTACACCTGCTGGACGGCACCGTGGGTCCGATCCACCCTGTGAGCTCATCACACAGCTAAAGGCTGAGCTGTGAGCAAAAGCTTTCTATTGGAACGCCTGAAGGAGGGAAGTGTTTGCAGACCACTCGTTAGGCACGACTACAACAGTTTGAGTGGAACGTCAGCTGGGATGACACCGCGGCTCAGTGGTCAGCACTGGGACTGGGCCAGCAACGCAACAAACAGATGATGCGGATGAAATCTTTGGGCTCGATATAGTCTGAAGAAGAGCAATCAGAAATGTATGTTCATCAAAAGCAGGTTCAATACCGACTTTAGGGACGAGTGAGGCCGTGCTAGGAATCCACTGCATATGCATCTGTGAGACTTTGAGCCGAAAAATCTCCTTCATCATAAATGATACGACAGAAAAACGTTCACGCTTCAGTAAACAGATCAGACTTTCACAGTAAAAGCATTTCCTGTGATGAGCTCAGCCTGAGGGAGCTGCTGTGAGGCTCATGATCGAAGGGCAGCTTACAAACTGTACCTGTGTGTGAACAACACCAGAAGACCTGATTTTCTATCACCAGCTGTTTCATCGTGGATGTTTAAGACATGACGTCGGCCTGCACATGGCTTCAGCACCAGCACTGCGATGTGCGCAGACCCACCAGTGACAGGAACTGAGATGTCAAGTTTGACACTGAAAGCAAAGCCGCTTGGCTCTCATTTCCTAAAAGTCTGTGTGATACTTCGGTTGAAGGCTTCTTGGACACACTGTCTTGTTTCACGTTATCTAAAGGAAACAGAACTTTGTGACATGCAGGCTCCACATGTGAGCAGCAAAGTGACAGAGGACTGAAATGAAACGTAACCCTGGTCCACAAAGAATGGTCATACTCAAACTAGTACGTTTCCAGGTGCCCACAGGTGTCCCAATACTGGGAAAATCGTGACTCTACACACTGTAGATATTATGAAACTAGAGTCTTCTACTGTCTCCATAGTTGTCCCACGTCTGCTGTGTTTAAACGCAGCCTGCAGTTCAGCCCAAGTCCCAGAATCTTTGTCATTTCACTGAATCATTAATGGCATCCCAGCTGCATCCAGAAGCACAGGATGACCTGTTGGTTTGTTTTCACAGAGTCTGGACAAAGCAAATGATTTATTTTTTGCAAAATCTTAAAGATATGTAGACAAAATGTGTTGTGATGATGTCATGATCTTAAGCTGAGGTCGGTCATGTTCTCTGAAGCAACGGCACACAACCAGTGAGTGATTCAAGGACTACAGCAGAGCTGAACGTCTAACGGCTCTTTCTGTTTGCAGCTTTTCTGGCTTCCATAGACGGCGTGTTCTGGTGGGTTTTTACTGAAAACATGCCTTTTAGGCTGCAGCACCACAAAGCTAACTATGACGAGTGCAAAGCCACGCGTGAATGCTTTCCAAAGCGACAAACTGCTTTAGATGCCTTCACCAGTTGCACCATATGAGAAAGATTCAAATGGCCTTTTTCAGCTTCTTTTAATCAGTTTTTATTTTCTGTGCAGAAGCACTGCCTCACACCCTAACCCTGACCCAGAATGAATAATGCTCTCCAGGTACAGTCACCAGGGACCTGGGAAGGATTCCTCCATGTGTTCATGCTCGGATCGTACACCGATCATTTCAATGTCATACAAACTCCGAGTCAAACAGCTGAAGGAAGGCAGACGTCCTGGTGTGATTCTCTGCAGTGACTGCTCAGCTGTGCTTTTAGTGCTGCTGAATGGACCGAACACCCACATCCCAACAGTTTCAAGCATCTCTCTCACTCTTCTCTCAGCCTATTGGCTGGCCACCCCCCGCCCCACTACTCCATTTTCTCTTCCGCCATTGGTTGAAGTGAACTGTGTGTCGGTGAGTCAGCGGGGTGGTGGGCGTGAGATCTGAAACAGCGTGGGTGGTGCTGGTGGTGTGAGGGGGGAAGAAAACGAAAGTAAAGACGAGAACCAAAGAAAAATCAGGAGAAGACAATAAAGAAAGAAGCTGAGTGTCCACAAACGCAGACGCTACAGGTCGGGCCATTTGTGATGCTCTGCTTCCGTTCTTGTTTTCATCTGTTTGGCTATTTGAACAAGGAGAGCATCTGGGGCATATCAAGGAGGAACATCACAGTATGAGGTACGACCTGAACCACCCGATCATTTAAAGAAACAACCTCAAGGTCCAATAAAAGTGTGCTGTTACAGTTCAAAATTACAATATATTCATCTATCCGGCCATAAATTTAAAGTAAAGACTCACTGGACGGCGTGAAAGATAAAAGTCACTCTACAGGAAACCACAGACAGTGTGAGGTCCTGGATGATCCTGAAGAAACGCTCTCTCCTCCTGCATGTGCAGCAACATGACCATAAACTGGATGTGATCTGATTCTGAACTAAGACAGGAAGTGTTACGTCCTGGATGATCCTGACGCCACTCTTGGTTTCACACATTCATGAAAAACCATCAAGTGAGCTTCGACAGCTGCTTGGGATTTGACAGAAAGATCAGCTCAGCGGTTAGATTGGCTTCATTCAGCCAGTTCCTCAGACTGCAGCCCTTTCAGCTGCACGACTGTAACTGTGTGTTTCAACATAAAGCGGTCGGCTGGTAACGTCTGTTGTCTTTGTGCATTTCAGGACTGATTTTTAAAGTCTACTGTTTGTTTTTAGGGTCTAAATGGGATGGTGTCACCTCAGTAAGAAGCTCTGATGCTCTGAGATGTAAACAGAGCAACAGAGGCGACGGACGGTGGCGGCTCCTGAACTCTGGACCAGATACCTTCATGTGAGAACTGATCAGACGTCCTGAAAGAACGCTGGCAGCACGCGCAGAGCGGGAGCATGACTTGGTTTTCATGATTATTTTATTTCTTTTTGGTTCACATTTCGATCTGCGTAATTGTGCATCACTTTGTTTTATGAGCAGCTGCTTTGGTTTCGTGGCACTTTGGTTGAACTCTTGCTGTTTTTAAACGTGCTTTATAAATAAAACTGACTGACTTCTATGTGACAGATGCTGCTGCTGTTATCTGTGTTGAGAGCCAGGCTTCAGAGCTTCCTCTGTCGGGTCTGATGGCTGAAGAGACGGCGTTCCCACCACACAATGCACTTTAGGTGAAAACCACAACATAAAATCTAAAGATGCATCCATCAGAACAATTTTCTGGTGCTAAGTGCTTCTTGCTGCACCATATTTCACACTTTGCAGTCCATTTGTCTGTTTAGCACAAACAGCAGCGCTGCTGCCAGCTCAGTTTGCACCACAAGAGTTTAGATGTTCCACCATCATTACAACAAGCTGCGCTCCACTGAATTATAACGATCAGTCCCAACGCAACATCTACTGACATTTTCAGATTGGAAAATCTGAAAAGCAGACTTGGTTTTAAATATGATTTGGCTTTGAAAACCCATATTGGTCCAACCATGAACTGAGCATGAAGGTCGCTTGTGGAGGTGAAGTGCTGTGGCACTGATGTGAAAGAAGAAGCAAAGATGAAATAAAAACAGGAGAAAAAGGGGAGTAGAGGAAGAAGTTAAGAGAAAGAGAGAAAGGAAAACAGCTAGTAATGAAAGAGAAGAGGAAAATCAAAGAGGAAAAGAAGGTCAGTCAACAGGGAAACCATAAAGCAGAGAGGATGTGAGGAGAAGAAAAGAGGAGGATCAGAAAGTGAAAGGAGGAGGAGGAAGTGAGAAGAAGGAGAGAACAGCACACAGAGAAAAGGGAGAGAAACGTACAAGAAACCAACAACAGACGAGCTACAGACACCAGAAGACAGAGACCATCTGAGGACACCACAAGCCGTTCACACACATCCAGGAGTGAAGGCTGCTCCTACCTGGCGTCGGCCTCGCTGTAATACTCTCTGGCTACGATGTCCTCAAACAGCTCGCCTCCGGTCACCCTGTGCACACACACACGTATATATATGAATGTACGTAAACCTATATCAAACATGGGATGCTTGACCTGGAGGGAGGAAGAGGTGCTGATGGCGGGTAGGGGGGTAGAAAGCCTACAAACCAGGATTCCTTCAGCGCTCCTGGTTTCCTGCAGCACCCCCCCTTCCCCCAATCCTCCCCGCTGCCCCCCTTCCCACACCGTTACCATGGAAACTAGAGGGAATTGCCGAGAGATGCATGTGAAGGCGTGGGTGGTGGTGGTGGTGGTGG